CCGTTGTGCTCAGCAGCTGTCTGGTCACCTTTGCCAGCTCACTAATATCCATCGACTGCGTTGCGTTAACCAGTTGTAATCGCTGAGAAATGTGGTCCGGGACACTCTCGATGAATTGGGAAGACAGTAACTGCGCTTCTGATTCTTCATCCAAAGTGGGAAGCGCACGTCGAAGTAGATTCGTCAATTTCACCGCCAACACTAACGGGTCTCCATCAGGTCCCAGCTTCGTTGACCGTAACTGCTGCATTGCTAGCTGTCTGTCTGTTTCGCTGTCAAACTCGGACACTAGTCGTTCAACCAATTTCTTCCAAGACGCTGTGCCATTTGACCTGTCTACGCTGTCATATGTCGCCTTCGCTCGGCCTCTCAACAGCGTCCCCAGGACAACTGCCTTCGCCGCCTGCTTCTTGACACCTACCAGCTCAGCGACGGCCTCGAAGTCACGTAAGAACTCCGTATGTCTCCTTCTTCAAACGCAGTTGGCCATGGGCTCTTCATTTTCTGGAGGCCGCGACACGAATTGTAACAACAGAAGACAAGGGCCGGCAACAGATCGTTTTATTACGGAATCAGCACGTATTTATATATATATATATATATATATATATATATTTCATGTACATTATTACAGCTTATTCAAGCAGACAAGCACAGTCTTCTGATTGGTTGTTTCGGGTTTCTCGGGAAGTGAGGCCATCTATCTGCGAATCTTATTTACCCACGTTAAGTCTGCTGTGATTGGTTGTTGAATCAGCCTTGTTCATATTTTTTCACGGTCAATATTAGTGACCTAGACATTTAAGTAGATTAATGTCTACCAATTGCCTAGCAGCCTGCTTTCACCACACGTGGGCAAATAAGATTCGCAGATAGATGGCCTTACTTCCCGAGAAACCCGAAACAACCAATCAGAAGACTGTGCTTGTCTGCTTGAATAAGCTGTAATAATGTACATGAAATATATATATATATATATATATATAAATACGTGCTGATTTCCGTTATAAAAACGATCTGTTGCCGGCCCTTATCTTCTGTTGTTACACTACCATTTATGCTGATTTTTATCTGTTGTAGTTGCTGTGGCTGTTGGTGTTGGCTAGGAATCTTCATCACCGCTGTTTTCTCTATGTTCACCTGAAGTCCTATCTTCTCTGGATGCTTCTTCTGTCAAGTTGTTACTTTTCATCTTGCATATCTTCTAGTTTGTGTGAAATCAGACATATATCATCGGTGAAGTCTACTGACTGCTGGGTCCTTTAAATTCATACTTCTATAGATTCATGATATAGTGCTTCTGCCTACTAATGCTATCGACGAGCATTCTCTAGCCTCCTAACATACTGGATGCCACCCACCTACCACAAGTTTTTATTAGAATAGCATGATATCCTCCATCTTGTGGCCACTAATTAGCGAGGGATATATATATATATATATTATATTCATTCGTATTTCTCAGTTTTGTGGGAATTTCGACCAATTCTCACATGGATTTTATTGCTGATTGTTTGGCTCACGGATACGCAAATGACTAAAATGTCTCAAAATGAAATCAAACAATTGTCCAGTACTGCTTGGTTAGTGGGGGGGGGGGCGGGGGGTATTTTGCAATCATTTTCCAATAGTGATAAAAGTTCTTGAAGTAATCTATGTTGACATAAAGTGGTAAATAGATTAACTGTATATTCTCTGTATAATGTGCACCAAGTCATTGTTGCACAGAGAGCAAATATTTGGTGACATAACACGCTAAACAAACAAACAAACTCAGTTATGAAATAGAAATAAGAAGAAAATTTATGATAGTTAAAACAATGATAGTTTGCTAAAGGATTAGAAGGAAGGTGTGGATCGACTAAAACCAACTTGTTATGGTCTGACAGCACAAAACTGATCTCTGCCTTCTAATGAATAGCTGGAAAAACTTCCATATGATACATACACATAAGCACAGAGTTTAAAAACGCTCCGGAGACAGTAAAAAAGATGATTCATTGTGATTCGAATTTATATGGGGTTCTCAAAAGGGCTGTTAGGCAGATATACAGTCCAGTCTAAGTACAACTTCGACAACTTAGAATCATTTCATACAATAATTCCCTTTTATAAATTTGAACAAAGAAAAGAGAAACATTGGCGCAAAATAAGCTGGATTCATCTTTTTTCGTTGGTTCTCATCATCTGCGTACAACCTGAATTTTTTAATAAAAATAAACAGTGTACAATGTTTAACAAACCTTTGTCCATTAGCAAGCATACTGTCAGAGCGTCATAGTAAAATAAGGCGTTGAGATCTACAGGGTGTCTAAACTGTTACGAAATACATATATATATATATATATATATTGGTAGAGAGAAGTTTCTTGAAAAAAAATTAACAGTTGTGTTGTTGGGGTGGTAACAAAAAGCAAATTAGTAAAAGTTACGTAATTCGATAAGAGAAGATTGAAATTTTAAAATTTTGGTACACATGAGGTCAGATGAAATGTTGATGATGTAATACAGTGAGCAGAACTCAGAAGATCAAGAAAAGGTTATTTCTTAAGATAGTCAAGCGAAAAAATAAAGGGGGGGGCGATGAAAAGATAAGTTGACAAAATTAGAAAACAAAGAGTTACTAAGAAGTGGGTCACCAGGGTAATTGAAGTCCAATAACGGATTATTTTTGGACACATAAATCAGGCTTCAATCGTTTTATTGCTATAGCTTTAGCAAACCTGAGAAGACTTGAGGTACTTTGTCTGTTAATTATTTTGAATGATTCCAGAACATCTACTCAGTGTCCTGTGTCAATCAGGTGTTTGGCGATTGAAGAGCTTAAACAATTCGGTCCCTTTAACCGGAGGCTCCTTGGTACATGTTCGTAGAATCTGACGTAGGTCCTCCTCTCTGTTCTTCCAATGTAACTGCCCCGCAGATACATGTGAATCGGTAAAAACAGTTGGGGGTAACATGTGAGACGTACTTGTCAATATTTGACTGCACCAGTGACGATGTTGTTCGGGATAGAGAGACTAATAACGCTGCAGAATACGTCCTAGACAGGGCTGTGCTTAATCTTTTATTAACCATTCTCATAATGTCATCGCCCTTATAGTCAAGTTTGATGAAAATAGGCTTCTTACTGACTGTGTCTGTATCAAGCTTCTTCAGTTCATTCTTGCCATATTTGTTAATGAAACTTTGTTGGTAACCATTTTCTTTTAAGCATTTCTCAAGAAGGATTAGTTCACTGTCTAGTTTGTTTGGTGAACATATTCTTCTCACTCTAGAGAAAAGCGTTTTTACCAGCGTTCGTTTGTTTCTCGATAGGCAGAAGCTGTTGAAATTCAAGTAAATACCACTTCATGTGTCCTTACGATATACAGAGCTTTCGAGTGTCCCGTCGTATTTTCTCTCCAACTTAACATCCAAGAAATGGAATTTTTCATCATTTTCATGCTCCATCGTGAAGGTGATGCTTATACTAAGTGTTGCGGATTTATTTCATTCATTCATGATGAAGTCACCACCAGTAGCTCTTTTCCAACCCGATCCATCCTATATCAGTCAGTTAACATTGCCGATTGTCGACGAGGACAATCGATGGCTAGGTCACGCATGCATAACACATATCCTAACCATCTCTCTCAATTGGTGTAACTTCACAACCTCGTTGATTGATTTCCCCCCCCCACACACACACACACTCACCTAGCACTAGATCAATGCCTAATCTCAATGTTGCTCACCCAGTTATACCAATTAACACAGGAGATAGAAGGCAGGCAGCTATGTTCATATACAGCCTCCAAAGCCTCAGGATGGTCGGGGGTGGGTTTCTTGCGCTGCGGGTTGGCCACCCCTCCGTACACCTCTTGAAATGCTCCCATATGACCGGGCGTCTTACATAGCCTCTCCTGAGGAAGTCCTACTCACTACCTTCACGTGGCGGAGGTGTTTTTCACTGAAGTGAGAGGGCAAAAGCGGATGCCCAGCGCTCTTCACTGGGTTGACTTTCCATTGGATGACAGTCTAGGGGAGATGGCTGAACCCTGATTCCAAACCTCCAACGACTGGCGTATGAAGCTCACCGGCAGACGTATAAACAAAGGGCTTATTGGATGCCCTGGATGACTGGCCCCATTCAAAAAGGCGTATGAACCGGACTCCGGTCACCGGCTGACAATGGATAGTGGACTCCCTACTCCACTCCTACTGCCTTGTAGGTCACACTTGGTTGTGTAAAGGCTAGAGCTGCACTCTCAAACAAAAGGCCGAGCGATGCTGGGGACATCTCTCATACCTAATTCCCATGAAACTTCATGAACTCTCTACAACATCAACCAAATTCCAGTGCTGATCCAACAACGTAGCCTTCGGTGGTTTGGTCATGTTCTGCGCCGACCAGATGACGATCTGGTCAAATCAGTTCTAAATCCCTCGCCATTTCCATCTTTGCGACGTCGCATGGGTGGACAGCTGAAAACATGGCTTGGTACAGTCAAGGCTGATATGGAGTGCCTGTGGCTACAAACCGTCTACGGACTCCGTCTGTGGAACAAGAATTGGATAACCCTGTCGCAAAACCTTGCATCAGATCGCCGCGCCTGGGCAGAGATGATTCGAGATGTTCATGAAGTCCGCTCATCCTCCCGTAGGAGATAGCTGAGTAAGTAAGTAAATACAGCTAGCTAGCCTTTTCGTATCTTGAGTATACTGACTAGTCGATGTGGATTTCCTCTATGACAACATACTACGCTTATATTGTACTGTCCTCTTTACTAGTTCTGTCAAGTCCATAAAAGACGTCTAAGAATGAATAAATTATCCTTCTAAACCTTTTAAAAGCTATCACGAATTAAACTCAATTATCCCGTAAGAGACTTTCTTTCTTTATGTGCCTTCTTTTCACACAAATATTCGTACATATATATTTATATATATTCAAATAGTGAATGAATTATTTGCTTTTCTAATGTTTTTTTTGTTTGTTTTTTGTTGCTTTTTTATAGTATGTGAGTAATGTAATTATTGATGCACCATATGTTATTCCTGCAACACTTTTGGATCATTTTAAGGTAAGTATTTGTGTATATTATTTGTGTATAGTCTTATTTCAACAACACATTCTAATAGTGTTAATTCTGTTGATTATTTTTTTTATTTTTGATTACAGCTAGATTCCACACTGTATTTTTGGGTACAAGTATGGAATTTTCAGCGTGGATATCGGTAGCCCAAATTTTGCAGGCCGACCATAGATATCAGGTGTGCGTTGGCGAGGGCTCGAACCCCGGACCGTGTGCATGGTCGGCGAGAGTCCTAACCACTGTGCCACCGACGCACAAATCTTAGCTCAGAGAGCCGAGAAGCGATGTGTTTTGTGTCTAATATTCAAATTCTTTGTCGAGTATTGGTTGGTGGGGGGGGGATTTCAACATGAGCTGACATCGGTTAGAACACCATTGGAAAACCACCACTGGAGTACTTGACAGCCAACTGTTTCGTCAGCCTATTTTGGGGCTCTTCATCACTGCGCACCCACCCACTGCTGGGGGTCGAACCCATGAGCAAGTGAACTGGTATACGCATCGAGGTTCGGGCAGCCTTGGGTAGTTTAACCAGCCCTTTACACAACAGGGGTGTCGCTTATTGTCAACTATATGGGATTGCGAGTGGTTGTCAAGTAAAATAACCAACTAATTGACCAATGCTCTAGGGTGTATAACAGACATCAATTTTCCAAAACTTCATGCAATTCTTCCCATTAATAAACTTGAACAAAGCAAGAACAATAATTGTACCAGGATTATATGAGCTCATCTTTTATTATTTCGAGATTTCTTCTCAATCGGTTACAAACTGAACGATAAAAAATATAAATTACATTAAAGATATGAACATACTTTTCCACGATCATAAGGAGTAATTGGTAGGAATTAAAAGTAACATTAGTCCGGAATGATTTAACTGACTAGGAGTTACAAACACTGTTTATAGAATAATTAGACAATTAGGCTTGGAAACAATAAACAGGGTTGCGTACACATGTGTGTGTGTATAGAAACAAGGTTTAGCTAGAAAGAGCATAACAAAAAAGTAGATTACTTAACTAAAGAAAATGTCTTATCTAATAGCCAATAAAGAAAGGAAAGAAAAGAAACAAGGTAAGGTGAGCCATGTTTAGATGAGAGAGTAGAGTTTTCTAAACAAGAAAAGAGGTGACTCATGAAAGTTGCATATTTCGTTATCACCAGGGCAATGCGAGATTCACCACTTTCTCTTTCTGCGTACATAGATTTGGTTCAAGTCGTTTGATGGCAATTGCTTCAGCAAAGCGTAGCAAGCTAGGTTTCTTTTGCTTGTTGATTATTTTGAACGACTTCAGGTTGTCTACAATATGACCAGTGTCCAATAGATGACGCGCAATCGCACTGTTTAATGCTTTCGTACCTTTCAGTCCCAGGTTCTTTGGTATGTGTTCATAAATGCGGACACTAACCCTTATCTCTGTTCTTCTAATGTATGTGCTTTGGCACGTACATCTAAATTGGTAGACACAGTTGGAGGTAACATGAGCTGGGTATTTGTCCACTTTTGATTGTCTCAAACAACTAGTTGTTTGATAAACACATACAAGCTTGGCGGTTGGATGTGTTCTTTTCAGGGCAGCGTTCAAGTCTGCATCTTATTCTACTAGCAGTATCATCACCTTTGAATGCAAGCTGCAGAAAGATAGGCTTTTTATCTACTGTCCTGCATTTCACTTTTTCAACATGACGTCTCCCATACTTGTCGATGAACTTTTGTGGGTGGTAACAAAAAATATACAACTTTCATGAGTCACCTCTTTTCTTGTTTAGAAAACTCTACTCTCTCATCTAAACATGGCTCACCTTACCTTGTTTCTTTTCTTTCCTTTCTTTATTGGCTATTAGATAAGACATTTTCTTTAGTTAAGTAATCTACTTTTTTGTTATGCTCTTTCTAGCTAAACCTTGTTTCTATACACACACACATGTGTACGCAACCCTGTTTATTGTTTCCAAGCCTAATTGTCTAATTATTCTATAAACAGTGTTTGTAACTCCTAGTCAGTTAAATCATTCCGGACTAATGTTACTTTTAATTCCTACCAATTACTCCTTATGATCGTGGAAAAGTATGTTCATATCTTTAATGTAATTTATATTTTTTATCGTTCAGTTTGTAACCGATTGAGAAGAAATCTCGAAATAATAAAAGATGAGCTCATATAATCCTGGTACAATTATTGTTCTTGCTTTATTCATCATTTTTTGGTTGAAGTGTGAAATATTCCCGGTTAAAAGTGTGACTTCAATGGTGTAATTACAATAAAGTACAAATACTACCTTCACTTACTGACAAATATCACTGACATTTTGCCATATTAGATGGCCGATCAATTTTTTTATTAAAATTTTGAATAAAGCAAGAACAACAACAGCGGTGGTTTGTGCAGAATAAGAAGATGGTACCATCATTGTTCATTTCGTTGACTTCCCATAAGATGCTGCTTACAGCCTGAACAGATTATTATTATTATTAAGTTCATGTACAGAAACAATTCCAATATATTTGCAAATTATAAACGATGTCAGTTGACACGACATTCTGGAATAGTGAACAGTGCTCAGAAAATTACGCTTATATGGTTTTTACACAGGGGGTTCAAGTTTAAACAAAGTAAATGTATGCACAGAATGGTAAGGAAGTTATGTAATAAAGACGAGAGAGGAGTTGGATGATCAGTGACTGGTAAATTGGGTGACAATGTACTGAGTTCGACTCAAATCATAGTAACAAGAGACAAGCGAAATTGCACTATATCAGAAGGTGGGATGGGGTTAAATTCAAAGATTACGTAATCAGATGAGAGTGAGCGAAGATAAAGACATCCAGTTACCAGACAGGGCAAAGAAAGACTGCTAACATCTGCTGCTTTTCGTTTTTTTATGTGATTCGCCGAATAATCTTAGTAAATAGGAAGTGTGGCTTACATTGTTGCACAGAAACAGGCAGTTAGCAGTCTTTCTTTGCCCTGTCTGGTAACTGGATGTCTTTATCTTCGCTCACTCTCATCTGATTACGTAATCTTTGAATTTAACCCCATCCCACCTTCTGATATAGTGCAATTTCGCTTGTCTCTTGTTACTATGATTTGAGTCGAACTCAGTACATTGTCACCCAATTTACCAGTCACTGATCATCCAACTCCTCTCTCGTCTTTATTACATAACTTCCTTACCATTCTGTGCATACATTTACTTTGTTTAAACTTGAACCCCCTGTGTAAAAACCATATAAGCGTAATTTTCTGAGCACTGTTCACTAATTCCAGAATGTCGTGTCAACTGACATCGTTTATAATTTGCAAATATATTGGAATTGTTTCTGTACATGAACTTAATAATAATTTATTTAGGCTGTAAGCAAGCAGCTGATGAGGATTCAACGAAACGAAAAATGATGGTACCATTATCTTCTTTCACAAAAACTTTTTAAAATGGTGAATTCGTTTCACTTTGAGCATACTAACAAAAGAAAGCTGAACTCAAGATGAATTTTCAATAGATAAGTGTTGCACAAAAGGTGAAGCTGTTCAACTTGTCATACTTGATGAATTTATGTTATAAAAGTAAAGAAAGAGGAAATTAAAGAAACTGTAATAGACGAAGAATTATGAGAAAAAGATTAGTTAGCTAGGGAAGAGTGTGAATTTAAGTTTATCTCTGGTTGGTTACAAAAAGTGAATGTATCTGTGCGATTTTGAAATAATTGTGAAGCATATCACCATAGGTTGCTAGCCATTGGTTCTTGTCATCGTAGACACATCAACAACAAGACAGTCCTGCACCTGCCCACATGGATGACTCAAATTATCAGTCAAAAATTTCATAAATTGATGCTGTGTTCTTGTTTCACCACTGTTAACTCTCTTTCAACACGATTTCGGTCCAATCAGTCGACGGTAAAATCTAAAATTCAATTAAATAATTAACATGACCCGTTGCACAAGAGGCAAAGGCTCTCGTGGCTTAAGTGGTCTAGTGGATAACTCGCTGTGGTGTTTGAAACTGTGGGAACTAGGTTCAAGCCTCGGTGGGAACATCATCACTCACTGTAGAATGCAGGTACATCCACCTGACGAGGCAGTCCCAAATAGGACGAAATGCGCTTTATCCTGTATTCTACTGCTAGTCACCATCCACTAATTAAATTCCAAATCCGTGTCAGTTAGCCTTACTAGCCGAGGGAAGGGATGGCTAAGCATGTGTAAAACATATCCTAGCCATCTCAATTGATGCAGCCTCATAGCCTTACCGATTGATTTACCCTCCTTATCTAACACACTTTTTGCTTAAGTTCAATATTACCCCAGGGATGACATAAATTGACAAATGCCGCACAAGCATCTCGTATTATTGCCAAGATTTCATCAACAGTCAATCCTTTAGGACTGTTGAAACTTTGCAAATAAGTGTAAAGCATTGAACGCATAACCATTTCACTCTATAACCTTAATCTACTAGCCTGTACAGCATCACTTTACATTTGACTAGTGATGAATTGCATACTATATATATATATATATATATATAAAGTTTCCTAACCTCACCTGGTATTCTAGCCGTTCCCAAGTCTGGGTAAAGAGGGGAGGGTTGTGTTTAGGCATAGTGACCGTACACCACAAAACCAATCAAACTGCTAATGAAACTTCAACACACAATAAAACATTAAAAACAAACTTATTCTTCATTTGAATCGGAAAGGTGAAATGACATAGTGGGCTGATAAAAGCCGGCCTTCAGGAAGCCAGTCAACCGGATGATATGTCTTCTCACGATGAAAGCAAAAGTAACAGTGGGGACATGGAATGTACGTAAAATGTACGATGCCGGCTGGGAAGGCTGCCGAGGTAGCTAAAGAGATGAGAAGAGATAATGTAGCAGTGCTGGGAATCTGCGATAGCAGATCCAATGGATGTGGACTGTCAAAATTGTCAACTGGTGAGTCAATAATCTACTCCTATCACCCAGACAACAACCAAGAGCACTCTGAGGTAATGAGTGGCTATCATGATGTCACCAGTGACAGCCAAAGCCTTAATGTAGTGGGGACTAATTTCATCCAGAATCATGACAGTAAGATACAACTCAAGAGGAAGGAAGGAAGGTTATATTTATTCAGTGCTACAAACGACGTGAAAGAAGAGAAGAAGGAAGACTTTTATGGACAACTACAAACAGTAATGGACAAAATCCCGAATAGCAGCATAAAAACCCTTATGGGTGATAAGAATGCTAGCTGATCTAGAAGCAGATAATACAGGGAGAGAACTCATCATGGTTTGAGAGACTGTGACTCTGAGAAATGAATGGAAACGAAGAATTATACGCAGACTTCTGCTCTTTCAATGATTTGGTGATTGGAGAGAGCGTGTACAAGCACAAGGATATACCCGAAGCGACATGGATTTCGCCTGACTGACACACCACAAATCAGATAGATTCCATCTCACTGCTGCTCAGAGAAGTGGAGACACACCCAGCTTGTTGGACACAAATTCGAGAAGGGGAGCAGATGTTGGCTTCACCTTCAAGGTGAAGCTAAGATCCTTGAAAAGAAATGGAGACACACCACTGTAATTGAAGTTAAACATCCAGAAACTGGAGGACAAAGCTTCAAAGGATTCCTACTCTTACTAAAGATCAGAGCAAAGTCGGAGACACTACGTGGCATTACTGAGGAAACCTGCTTGAAAGAACATTGGAACTGACTCTCTGAAGGTGATGTTCAAGTAAACGTGTACAACTGTTCTAGGGAGAAAGAAGAGACAAGATAAGAAATGACTGAACAGATACCTGGTAGCTAATAGAAGAGAAAAGAGGAGGATGGTGAAAGAGAAGTTGAATCAATGCAAAGATGGAAGGTTTTGTCAGTGACTTCATATGATTATGAGCAATAATTTGTACTCGAAACGTCATCAGTTAATATTACTGCACAACAATTTTTGACACTATCAAAATAAATCTTATCCACAGTGCCCAAGTTTTATACTTATATCAATAACAGAAGGAGAAGCTGAGTTCAATCTACACTACACTGAATAAAGAAGTGAGGAAGAGTGCTTTGAGACGAAAGAAAACTTTACTAAACACTGGGTGGAAACTCAAGTAAAACAGGCAGGCCTTATGTGAACGAGAACTCAGGACATTATATCAGATAACCAGGTCTCTGTTTAGGAAGAGATCAACCCGGATGATGAAACCAATAAACGATGCTCAGGGGAACCTGATTACTAAGGAGGAGAAATAAACAAAACAGTGAATGGACTGATCACTTCAAAGGACTCTTAATTCGACCATCACCTGCAACTTGTACAGAAATACCACTACAACCAATAGCACTCATAGAACTGCCTGCCAGTGGACACCAATCCTCCAATGAAAGCAGGAATCTTGAGTGCGACCAAGCTACTGAAGTCCAACAGGGAAGGTAGCAGGGTCAGATAGAGTTCCCCCCCCCCCCAATGTGAAGCACTGGAAACGGACCCAGAGATTGCGACAGATGTGCTCACCTCATTATTGTAAAAGACTTGGAAGGAAGTAAAGGTGCCTACAGATTGGAAGAAAGCCTGGCTAACTTGACAAGCTACCGAACAAGGGCGACTTACGCATCACTCTTCAAGAACTGACTGGGGTGGGATAATGCTGTTGTCCACACCAAGTAAAACACTAAGTCACATCATCCTGGAGAAAATTAAATACGCGCTGGTTACAGAACTCCGCCACCCCACCCGGAAGGAGCTAGATTCAGGAGCTCTACGCATCGTCATCACACAGCAGAGCGTAGGATGCCAGTCAAACCTCTCTCCACCTTAACAACTTCATCGAGGCCTTTCACAGATAGCGTAGACCGAGAAGTAATTTGGGAACTGCCTCAACATTGCGGCGTGCAGTGACGAATTCTTTATCACCCTCATTCATTAGCTGGTTGTATGACAGTGCCTGTCGCCACGTGTCAGTCAGGTGATGCACAACGCAGAACTCAGTGAAGGGAATACAGAGTGGAGTAAGAAAAGACTAGCTGACTGCCTATCATCACTGATGACGATGATAAAAGAAAGGTCTATGTTACTAATAAAATTTGGAAAGAAAATCATCTCTGTGTCATAATTATCTCAATACTAATTTTTCAACTTCTATTCGACAATTTGTTAACAAATTTTTAGTTTAGGTTGATCAAATTTGATAAGAGGGAATAAAACAAGGTTGAAAGTGAATAGAATAGAATTTAGAACAAGAAAGTACAGAACACTCACGTTAGATAGTAGGAATAATAATTAAAAAGACGTTTGATGGCAGCTAAGAAAATTTTCTTCTCGATGAAGTCACCAACGTGGTTGTACATTTGTGTATTTTTATCTATTTTTTATTATTTTTTATTACAGCTTGGTTCCACACTACTTTTTTGGTAGAAGTGTGGAATTTTCAGCATGTGATATCGGTAGCCCAGATTTTGCAAGCCGGCCATAGATATCAGGTGTGCATCGGCATGTGATCGAACCCCGGACCATGTGCATGATCGGCGAGAGTCCTGACCACAGTGCCACCGACAGTGTGAGGAAATTCCAGAACTATCTCCGCTCAAAGGTTAAATTAATAAAATTACAAAGTGTAATAATCAGGAAGATCGGGCAGAAAAAACATAATAAGATCATAATGACTGAAAAACTTGACTGTTTGTGCAATTACGAATTAAGGACGTAGCAATAACAAAATAGGTAGGAAGTTCGGATATATTAAAAAAACAAAAAAAATCCAGTAATGCAAATAGGAACTACAAACTTAAAAATAACAGAAATAAACAAGAAGGTTGGATACGAATAGCAATAGGATAATCATTATTGGTTGAACTGACTTTTTATTGGCCATGGTCGGGACAACGAATGGACTTATTTCTCCTGAACACATAAAGTGGGCTTGGGTTTTGGGATCGCCAGCGCCTCAGTCATTCCCAGCCAGACGCCTTCATTTCACTCCTTTTGCGAGAAAGGTTTGATCGGATCTCGTGTATGACTTTAAAGTACTTTTTATTCAAATGGAGCTAAATGTGGTGAATTCACCCCAACAGATGTTTTGTTACCGAACTGTATACCCCTGTGTGTTTTCCCTTTTACTAACTATGCTGAATAGTGTTCCCTAGCGCGTTTGGTTTTCTTACCTGCAACCGTCTATGTATGGGAATTGTTTAAAGCTTCTATGTACTGCCCTTTTCTTTCTTTCTTCCTTATTACCAGGTTAATTATGTGGCGATTGGTTGGGATAAAAATCTTACGCCAACCCTTGAAGGTTTAGATCCAATGATGGTATGTTGACAAAAAAGTATTAATAATAATAATATTTCAAATGGTTAATTTCACTTCTTATATTGTTTGTTTTCTTTTAATTATTATCAATAATAATAATAATAATAATGCCTTATTCCAAACATTACATTTGATACTGTGTGAAATTCTCAGCATAAAGTAGTACAATGTTGCATCTGATTGCCTCTCATTCAATATCTAGTCACCATTAATGTCATGCGTATCCAGCCCGCCACCCCCTCACCATATGTTTGGTTCAGACTGAATTCTGTCATTCAAGTTTTGTAATGTTGCGTCACCATGCCCCACTAAATGGCTAGTCATCATGGTGCACTCTAAATTAATGTTACAGCCTACAAGAGGTCAAACATAAGCCTGAATAGCTCAATGGTAAAGTCTGTGTCTACAGAACTGGGTGAGCTGAGTTCGTATAATGCAGTCCATCGTAATTAAGAATGTTATCGTTGGTGATAATAGGCAGGCAGGCAGTCTTGTCTTACTCTAGTCTGTATTCACTTGGAAACCAGGCTTCACTGAGTTTTCCGTTGTGGATCACCTGACTGACACTAGGTGGCAAGCATTGTTGACTGAAGTTGATGAAGATATGGGCACTGTACGCCGTAGTGTTGAAGCAGTTTCCAAATTGCCTCTCCGTCAACGCTGTTTGTCGAGCCTTTTCGAAGTGAAGTTTTTGAGACAGATAAAGTTTCGGCTGGCATCCTATGCTTTGTTTTGTGATGAAGATGCATAAAGTTGCGCTCTGATCAGTACATGGTTTGCCTTCCCTGAATTCAGCTGGTTCCAGTGAGCTGTCGGAGTTCTGCATCCTTTATTCTCTCCAGGATGATGGGTCTTAGTACTTTATTTGTCGTGGACAACAGCATTATTCTGCTAAGTGGAGAATATTCTCTTTAATGGTTCTTTGTTTTATCACTATCAGTCGTAATGGATTAACTTCAAATTCATGTGTATAAACTGTCTAGTTTTGCTTCCTATGTTTGTATATATATATATATATATATCCGATTTGACTGCTCCTGTGGAGCTAGTTATATTCGGCATACATCATCAGGTTTCTGAGCATCATTATACTGTGGCGAGTGTTACTTATAATCAGATATAAGTAGTATGCCAGTAAACGAATCCAGAAAAGTAACAATATGTTTTGGCCACTGAAAAAAAGCAATCGAAGAAGAGAACTTTGAGAAGAAGGTTACAACACTGTGCAAAATCAAACAAGCTATCGAATGTGGTGATATTCAACCGATTTGCGAATGATGAGCGAATAAAGACTTAAAGATAAGGCATACGAAATTAATATACCTTCAATGCCTTTTGCTTAATACACATTGTCTCCAAGCCTCATCGGTCTTTTCTTCCTTAGACTATATGCTTAAGCCAGAGATTATTATTAATTATTCCCTTAGGTTCCGAGTGTAACGTAGGTCTTCAACAAAACATCCCCACTTTCTTCTATTTCGTGTTGTCTTCTTCAGCTGTGCCCATGGTTACGCACAATCTCTCATCTCTTCCTGGTAAAAGATAAACAAGGTTTATGCTTAGCTATGTCGTAGCACAACTTGTAGACACTGACGATAAACTTTATGATGAACAAAGCATTTAAGATTATCTATCGTCTCTTCAATAATCTTAATTTTGTCTAACGAGTTTGTCTTCTACTCTATAACTGAAGCTGTCAGAATCTACCTGAAGAAGTTTAAGTGATGCATTCAAAAGTTCGTTCAAACGCGCTTTCCTTTACCTTGGTTATCATCGTAATTGTGAAAGTCTGACGATTTCTCCTTCATCTTAAGTCTTTTACAGGCTTTATATTTTTTTTTATCAGTGAGATATTAACAAAATGCCTAAGGAATGTGGCAGTAAGACGATGAGCATTCAGTGCTGCTGAATTATGCTGTGTCTTCAAAACCACCCAGCTTAAAGATAAACTACCTAATTTCGCCTCTTCTATGTGTACCTATCGATCAATTTGATTGCTCCTGTGGAGTGAGCCAGTTTGGTTGTATAGACCATATAACTAGGCGTGTTCATCGTCGGATTTCCGAACATCATCCTGCATAGTGATTAAGTAAGGGACAAGTAAAATCCATCCATAGCTCTCTATTCTATCTTATCTTGTGGATACCAGAACACAAGATTGATGTTAATGAGTTTAACCACGGATTGATGTTAGTTAGAGAAGCATTGAAAACCAGCTAGAGGAAGTACTGGACAACTGTTTCATCCTAGTTTGAGAATCGTCGTCAGTACCCACCCACTGCCGGAGTTTTAACGCAGGACCTTCCGGTTACAAGGCAAGCCAGTTGGCTCAAATACCATTCAGCCACTGGGACCTGACACCTCAATGGCAGCCAGTCCATAAATTCTAACTTCTACCAATTCGTGATGCATTTAGCGCGACTGGCACCAGCCAATGTCGTTAGTGGGAAACTCATCCGCACACAGTTGACTGGTTGGACCTCACCAGTTACGACTTCTCACTAGAATTTCAGGAAACCCTGTCCTGTATCAGTCAATAACAATTACCCTTTAAATAGTAAGTGTTAACCCTAGTTGGAGGATCAAATGAAGAGTTTACCCAGACGGATGATCTTTTACTCAGTCTTCTTTTTTTTCTGTTATTATTTTTTTTCTTGTTAAAGATTTGTAAAGAAAGAGGTATTCTACGCAGAATAGACAGTGGATGTAATGTTACAACTTCTATGGTTATATCTCGTATTATGCAGAATAGGTAAGTTATTATTGAAATTGTACTCTTCTTACTTGTGTTCAGTGTTATTATTATTATTATCGTTCCTTTGACTTCCGTTTGTAACATGGGACTTTAACGTCATATTTCCACTTAGTCCTGTTCACTGCGCTCTTTGTTTTCTGGCCCCACGATTGTTCATAGCCTCCTATATCCTTCCTCACACGATTTCCTCCACGTCACCCTTGAATTCTAAAGTCGTGGTTCCGCATTCAGGCATGGCACACAATGTCATATGACAGTTTCCTCAGCGTGTGTCATATCTATCTCTGTTTTCTTCGGACTATTTATTGAGCAGTGTGGTTCTTGGTCAGTTCGTTCCCTGAGTTTCTTGTTGCTAATTTATTCTGGCCAGCTGGCTATTTGATCTACATTATGGAGCCAAAAAAGGCAAATATTGACAAAAGTTTACAATAACCTTATGGAAATACTTTTTGTGACGCCGGAGGCAAGTTTCTGGTCCACATAGCAGAAAAACTGACTGATTAACTTAACAATGATGTCAAAAATGCGAATTTTGTAGTTTGCGCTGAGGAGTGCAGAAGATTTTGAAACTAATTTCATAGTGATGAAGGTGTGTCTCGCCTTTTTGATTCTGGCTAGTTTTAACCTCCTCATCCGTACCGTTCGCCTGTATTCGAAACGAGGCTGCTTAAATAGGTGAAGGAAGTGACCTCTTTTAAATTTTTCCGTTGAGATAATGACTGGTGCTTGTTGTCGGTGTTTGGTTATCATCACCACCTCCATCTTCTCTATGAATTGTTAGCAATAGTTATTATCGAGAATATGACTGAACTTTTTAGGCGTTCTTTTAAATATGAAACATTTAAGCACAGCAATATTAAAAAAAACCATGCCTTCTAATGCATTTGACAATGAGCAAAGTATATTGTGTTGAAGGTTGAGTATTTCCGCACATCTCCGCCTAAACCTCGTTAGATGAAATAACTGTCAGACACGTTACCTACTGACTGAAAGTTAAGCATTGAATTCAATAAGTCACAGACTATCGAGTGTTTATGCATATTCTGTTAGTGAAAAGTAGCAAAGCATCAAACTGTGGGGATTTAAACTAGGACTAGATTTACATATGGGTCATTCATTAAATAGATCTCTTGACTGTCTATGTGCAAAAATGATCTGATCCTTCATGCTCATGCTAACTGCTCATTTAAGCCTTCTCATTTCAATCTGAATCAGACTAAGTTAGGTAACGGAGGTGAATATTCAGCTGTTGTTAGTGATTATGTAGCCTGAGTTTTGTGAACCTGGGTGATAGCTGAGGGCCTGAAACACACGTTATACCTGCTTAAGTGGTGAATTCTATACCAATTGTCCTATTTTCTTAGTGATTTTGTTTGGGTTTCTTTTAGTTGTTATTGTGTAACGACAAAAGGCGAAAGAATTTTGATTGGTCGGGGTTCGATGCTAGATTAAACAATGCAACGAAAAGTTCTTTAATGAGATAATTCCATCTCTACAATCTGTATTTTATACTACTGATAAGTATTTTCAGTAGCCCAGTCCACAGCAGTGTAGGAATATTGTTTTTACGGAGTAAAGTTATTAACCACCACACTATAAACATTTTTTTTCTCCCGAACTTACTGTTGGTTAGTAAACCAGACGAGATTTATGATTACATCGGTCGGGAATCGAAACTGGACCTCTGCGGAGCATTCTACTAGTGTAGCACTGATCCAACCATCACCACCTTGCTCAATTTCATGAAATCATTAAAGTATGCACAAAATCGGTGCATTTTAATTGTACACTTTCTATGGTTAGTAATCTTTTTAATTTTGAAAGAAAAGTCGTTCATCTGAAGAGGTACGGCTTTTATCAGCAATGGATAAGTAGGTTCTAGTTCAATGAGAGTACTGTTTAAAAATGTTTGCTTTGTCCTGCTTTAGCAAGATTTTTATGTATTCGATAGGTGAGGTGACTTTGAATTCCGTTTTGCGGATGGTTTCGGCGTCCATAATCGACTAGAGTATTCCAGGATAATATAAAGCTGTAGGGGAGATCATTTTTCTCCTTTATAAAACCATGAAAGTAAGTATTCAATTATACGTTTGGATAGCAAATACCGATATACCTAGCTCCATATGAGCAGATGAATTGATGGAGACCCATCGATGAGGCGGCCCAGTAGTGGTAGCTTATTCCTCACGTTTATTGAAATCATTGGTTTGGTTGGTAGAGACAATGAGTTGAAGTTCAGCTGAGAAAAAGATTTTCCCCAATGTCCAGGACAGGTGGTTTCTTGGCATTTTTACCGATGAGTTTCCATGTTATGACCGGAACTATGACCTTGTGAACTATGTGCGAATGTTAACTTAATTGCTCTGGCTAATGTGTCCTAAGCGCACGTCAACAACAATAATACCACCGGGTCGCAGAGACAGAAGAGAAAACTGGACGTTGATAAGAGAGCTTTCAGTGTCTTGAAACATCAGTCAATAAAAGGTTGACAGTGCTTGCGTGCATGTATATTAAAATGACCTTGAGAAGCATTGATTTCATTGATAACTTGAAATGGTGAACAACCAATAGGATTTTAAAGGACATTCGTAGGGTGAGGGAAAATCAAGACATAGATCAATAAGTGGAATGCGAGAAGTACAAACAGACAGATCTGTCTGTCTGTTTTTGACATAGAACTTTGCACCAATGTGCAACAGTTCGAGTCGCCACACTCCATGTAGCACACAAAGCAACAGAAGAAAGTAGAAGAAATGCATTATAGAGACAGTAAACAGAGCTGTGAGACAAAGGAATAGTAGTAACGAAGAACAAAACAGTTTCATTGGAAACCATAAGTCACAAGGAGTGGGTGCATCTGCGCCAGCCATTGAGAACGATTTTGAGCCATGTCACCAATTGTTTCCAACCATTTGTTTTCATCGTCCCGAGGACCCCAACCAGTCAGGAAGTCCACACCTTCCTACGTGGCTTAGACTAGCTGTTGTAGATTTCATTGACTGGTGCCATGTTTTTGTTTGACCTCCGCTAGCTTTTTTCCAGCCTGACCCTATATTCGCTAACATTGCTCGTCGAGGAAGGCGATGACTAGGCATACGTAACACATGTCCTAACCATCTCAGTCGATGTAATTTCGCAGCCTCGTCGATTGATTTCCCCTGCTTACCTAGAACTCGACACCTAACCTCAATATTGCTCACCTTATTATGCCACTTTACACTGGAAATAGAACGCAGGCATCTATGATTAAAGACAGCTAACCAGGCTTTTCATGTCTTCCACTCTCAATGGCCAGGTCTCGCAGCCATAAAGGAGGACGGATCGGACTGATGAGCAGTACACCGACCCTTTGGTGGATAGTCGGATATCTCGTCTACGCCAGAGACGGCGTAAACTGGCATATGCGGAACTAGCCCTCTGTATTCGTGCTGAGATTTCGTCAGAGATCAACCCGTTGGCACTGGCTGATGGTACTTCCCAAATAAGTGAAGCGGTCAACGTGCTCTACCACTTCACTTCCTATTTTTAAACTAGGAGTCGATGTAGTCCATTTCTGTAACATCATCTTGCATTTGGCGGGAGCGAATCGCATGCCAAACATTCGTAGATTGCAGCTCAATGTGTTCAGAAGACTCTGCATTTTTTCACCGTCCTCGCCTAGAAGGACTATATCGTCTGCATATTCTAAGTCAATGAGTTTATTCCCTGATAGCAAGTCAATCCCTGAGTCGCTGAAGTCACCTAGGGTTAAGTCCATTAATACATCTATGATGAAGTTGAATAGAAATGGGGATAATGGGCATCCTTGACGGACACCACTGGTCGTCACCACTTCAGATGACAACTCGCCATAAGCCCTCACCTGGTTGTTTGAGTACGAGTAGAGTGCCTTAATCAGTGCAATGTATTTTCTCGGCATTCCCTTTACAGCCAAGCACCGCAAGAGAATTTCTCGGTCGACAGAATCGAATTCCGCCTTTAGGTCAAGAAATATAATGATTGTTGGATGCCGGTAGGAATTTCTATGTTCTGGAATCTGTCGGAGGGTGAAGATGTGATCAATACACCCTCTTTCTGGTCTAAAGCCTGCCTGACTCTCTCGTGTTTGTGCCTTCAAAGAAACAGACAGATAAAAATGACATGTAGAAAATTAGGTCTATATATCACTCGATTTGCTGTGCAGATTCAAATTTCATCTTTTCATGCAGGCATCTTGTACTCTCTTCTTCCATCGGCCTGATATAAAGAAATCAGTGCAAAACACTTTACTCAAACATAATTGAATCCCTCAGTTATCTATCAACTTTTTCTTTGTTTGTTTTTAGGTTACTCTATGAAGAACGAAACAGAAAGAAGGTTAATAAAGAACTTCAATTGGCCAGTACACTTACAACGAATTCAAAACTGTCTAACTGATCGCCTCTTATAATTTTTCGGTTATTTATTATTATTAGTTTATTTCCATGTTGGAGGGATCTTCTTTCTCCTGTTTTGCTTTTTCTTCTATTCTTATGAAATGTTTTTCTATGTTGTCTGTTCTCAATATGTATACCTATAAATATATATATATATATATACTTCTTTCGAAAAAATTTTGAGGATTGTATAACTAAAAATGAATGAATAACTTATAGTTATTCAAATGAATGTTTTCCTTTTGCTGAAGTTATTGATTTTAATCAGGGATTTGACTGACTGATTAATCGATTGATTGATTTCACTTGTAATCATGAATTGACTTCAGTTAAAGAACCATTGAAAACCAAAGGAGGAGTAGTAGTGTGGTGAGAGCAGGCCGTGAGAAAATATGAGCAAGGCTGATTCAACAACCAGTCACAGCAAAGTTAACGTGGCAAAATATGATTCGCAGATAGAGAACTCTATTTGTCGAAGAATCCCGAAGCAACCAATCAGAAGCCTGCGTTTGTCTGCCTAACTTCTGATAAACAACCAATCAGATAACTGCGCTTGTCTACTTGCATAAGCTATAATAATGTATGTGAAATATGTATAAATACGTGTTGATTTTCATAATAAAACGATCTGTTGCCTGGCCCTTGTCATCTGTTGTTACAGTAGTAGTGACTGGATTGCCGTTTTGTCCTTGTCTGAGGCTCTTCAGGCAGTGCGCGCCTCCATGACTCCACACCCATTAGGGATCGAACTCAGGACCACTCAAGTAACAAGGTAAGCTTGTCAACCATTCAGTCCAGATGGGATTTTCTAGTGCCACAACTAGCTGCTATCATCGGTAATTATTATTTTTTACACCCCACTCTAGTGAAACTCCAATTATGGTCACAAAATCTTACGAGAACTACGGACAACTTTGTCTTGAAGAGAAAAAGTCGCGAACTGATGGCGTTTAGAATTTATAGGCGATTAGATTCTATCCCGATGGCTGAGTGGTCCACGAGTTCATCTCGTAACCTAAAGTTCCCCGGTCCGATGCCTGATGGGTTCGCAGTGATGAAGAGTTTGAAGCAAGGATGAAACGTCCTGTCCTGAGTTATTTTTGTTGTAAAATTCTTAAAATAAGTAAAATGACTTATGTAAGAAGAAAATTCAATGGAATTCTACGTATAAAATGAAGAAGGCCTTGGTAAAAAAAGAGTAGAGCTATAGTTCATCGATCATGGGTATGACCTTGCAGTAATGCATCGAGGTGTTGGCATCCTCTGAATATTATAAGCAGCCCTCACTCGCAACAGGTAAGTGTGCTTCGTTGTGATACGTATGATTTAGAAAAAGGTCAAAGATTCTTCGTGTTTTAAAAGATAAGAAATGGCATCATTAGATGGGGGCTTATCCATTTCAGTGCAATCATCATAATATATTTTCGCGACCAATGAATCGAAATTTTGTGTACAACAGTTTTGTATCTAACAATGTTCATTTTTAACTGTGTGTTTTACTCGTGATCTTCACTTTTAATCAAGTCCAATTATTGTTTAAAAAGCAACAGAAGTTAATTGGTGGATGGTGACTAACAGTGGAATTCAGGATGCGCATTTCGTCCTATTTGGGACTCGTCATCTAGATAACGCTTTGGCATTTGAAACTATGGGCACTGGGCTGGAGCGTCGGTGGGAACATCATCACTCATTGTGGAATGCAGGTACATCCTGCTGACGAGTTCTGAGTAGGACGGAATGCGCTTTATCTTGGATTCCACTGCTAGTCACCATTCACCAATTAACTCTGATTGCATGGCCAGACATCTTCGAAGCATCTGCACAAGAAGCCAACAGACATGTCAACCTGAGACCGAGCACTTCGGTCGAATCGATCGACGGAAAAATCTAAAATTCAGTCAAGCGACAGAAATGTTAAAGCTAAACCGACTGAAGTAATTACTAATAAATTATCCGCACACTGAGATTATTGATTCTGTTATCCAATCAGCTACAAACGTACAGTGTCGAAAACAACATACTTGATACTTTGATCAGTTAACTGTGTATTGACAGAAGGCAAGGGCCAGGCAACAGATCGTTTATTGAGAAAATCAACAGATATTTATAGATTTTTATGTACATTATTATTCGCGTTATTGTTAGCAGACAAGCAACGTCTTCTGATTGGTTGTTTTCTCGCTGAAGGCTATCCTGTCATCTCTTTATGGCCGTTTCTTAGACAGTCAGGTGATATATCTGCGAAGGCAATGGATAAAGGCACGCACGGTCTTATGGAAAGGCTGAGCACTTCAAGGTCACGTATGCATATTGTGATTGGTAGATTTTACTTTGCGTAAACGCTGCGGCTAATACGTAGCACACGTTACTGAGGCGGACTTTGAAATGATAGTAATAAAAGTCGCATAAACATTACAAGTTTACATATGTGTACATTTTACAGATGTGATATACATGTGGACCCACTAACAAAAAGAATATTATTGGTTAACTTAATCAAAGAAGGATAAAGTTTGAAGATTTAGTCTTTTCCAGTTGATTGTAACGGACGGATAGGAGAGGCGGCAGTTGTGTAATATTTGCATTTTACAGAAGACAAACTGTGAAAGATAAATCGAAAGTTCTATAATTCTTCAAATCTGTCGTGGAATATATGGACTAATCTTACCGATTCTACTATTGTTCCCTACCTTGTTCACATATTCATTGTGGCTTAGATAAGGAATTGTTCACCTGACGTAAGATTAACTCACCTGATATGTATACATCCTTAGGTATTTCTCAGTGCTGCCGGAGGTGGTCGAACGAATACAATCTCGATCTTTGCATGGAGAGATCAGAATTAGTTTCTTCTGAAGGATCGGGTGGTGCTGAAAGCTGTAAAGACAGGTCCACTGTCACAATCATCTGAGGGAAACTGATCCACATATTGTGGATAAAACGATTAGTGGACTTTAATTTAATATGAAGTAGCCATAAAAAAATTACAACTGTGATTTTTTCACTGAATTGTTATAAACCCCCTTTTTAATGTGAATATTTACTGTTTGACTGTTGTTATTTTGTAAATATATGCATTTATGTCGACTACCTGTATCTCTCTTAATTATCATTTCGAGAACATTGCATAGTTAACGAAATTGATAGGCAACGTAGTAATACTTGTGTGAAATGCGTCATAATCGTAAACCGTTATTATTTCCTCAGTGCGTCATCAAGCCTCGCATGAAATGTTTCAGTTGCATTTAATCTAGTTGTGCATAGTTATAGGTATGCATTAGTGTTAAGAAGAAAAGAGCGTCAAACATGTGTTTGTAATGTAATAACGAAATATAGTAACCCTTTTGTAAAATACTGTCAAAATCGTATACCGTTTTAAATCCTTATGTGCATGAAACATCTCAGTTACATTCAATCGGACTGTGTAAAAGATCATCTTTCATCAGGGCTAGCGAAAAATTTTGGTAGATACTAGTTATCTAAAAGAGTTTCAAGTAAAGACTTTAACTCATTCTCTATCGTGTCTTCCGAACAAATTTTTCGAATCCTTGAACACACAATTCACGCACTAGGTGTTTCTTCCGGACCAGTGGGACGAAGCTTTGGATGTTGATGAACTGTCCCGTCCATGTTGAATTGCGATATATGATGTTTGGATCGTACAATCTTGTCTTCCGGTAAGTAGTACGTAGAGGAATGGATATGCTATGTGCAATTCAAGTTCTAAGGTGAATTTTATTGATGGGTGCGCTTCGTGAAGGTTATAAGGAGATACTCAAATCAACTTTTTCATCACAGATTATAAAAGTTTACTCTATGTAGGTACGTATGTAGGTGCAGTTGTATTGAGATCTGTCTGCTAGCCAAAATTGGTAGACACCAATTTAAGTCGATGTTTATTTCCCGTATCTTGATCATGAGAAAAAAAACAAAAACAAAGACTAACTCAACAACCAATTACACCAGACTTTGTGTGGGCGGATACGATTCGCAGATAGGCAATGGATAAAACACACGGGGTGTTGTTATGTGTTATCGCGATGCTGTATTTGGGCTGTTCTACGTTGTTTTCAGGTGTTTTTTCAACTGAAATACATCCTATATATATATATATATATATATATATATATATATATATATATATATAATAACAAATGTAGGACGGCTAGGTACATCGAAAATAACGTATTATAGGTATATCCTATTGAAGAAAATTATCCTAGTATTCTTATGCTGCACAAATTATCACTCTTTCAAAGTAAATCATTACGCATTCCAAAACCGGCTGCACCACTGTTCCTTCGACAAGCAAAGGGAAGTAGTAGTAAGATAAATAATTTTGTAATATCACAAAGATTCCAACATCAACAGGTAAATTCTTCAATTGCACTTCATCGAAGCCTCCAAATAAAGTGTACCATTTCGTAAATCACTATTGTAACCTGCCTCCAAAGCCTCAGGATGGTCGGGGGTGGGTGTCTTGCGCTGCGGGTTGGCCACCCCTCCGTACACCTCTTGAAATGCTCCCATATGACCGGGCGTCTTACATAGCCTCTCCTGAGGAAGTCCTACTCACTGCCTTCACGTGGCGGAGGTGTTTTTCACCAAAGTGAGAGGGCAAAAGCGGATGCCCGGCGCTCTTCACCGGGTTGACTGTCCATTGGATGACAGTCTAGGGGAGATGGCTAAACCCTGATTCCAAACCTCCAACGACTGGCGTATGAAGCTCACCGGCAGACGTATGGACAAAGGGCTTATTGGATGCCCTGGATGACTGGCCCTATTCAAAAAGGCGAATGAACCGGACTCCGGTCACCGGCTGACAATGGATAGTGGACTCCCTACTCCACTCCTACTGCCTTGTAGGTCACACTTGGTTGTGTAAAGGCTAGAGCTGCACTCTCAAACAAAAGGCCGAGCGATGCTGGGGACATCACTCGTACCCAATTCCCATGAAACTTCATGGTTCATGAAGCCGGCTCATCCTCCCGTAGGAGATAGCCGAAGTAAAGTAAGTAAGTATTGTAACCTGCAAATCAACGATAGCAAAACATCTGTCACCAAATAATTGGCAATGCAAAAAAATACTGTAAACCAGGGTACCTTTTAGGAAAACTTTGTTTATTAACTGTTAGCTTACGAATAAATCAACTACACACTCCTTTATAATAGGTGTAAACATTTCTGGCTCTTACCAACTTTTCATAACTCAGAGATTCAAAACACCACTTCAGAATTTCACAAAATATACTTCAATTACCTAATTTATTTCGTTTTTCTTAACGTAATCAACAATTTACACAGAGTTTTAACATTCCACATGCAAAGAAACAACGAAATTCGATGACAGATACATGCTCACTAAAACTACTGAAAGCGTCTCCTTTCCACCATTTTTCTAAGTGTTTTCGATAAAATATGGTATTTAGGA